CAGGGAAAGCTGGGGGAGAAGCATACGAAATATACGAGCAAATTACGAATTTTTAATCACACGTCGCGCTCGTTATATAAGCAGAGGAATACGAGTAGTATCAGGCTCCTGCCAAACCGAAAAAAAAGCGAACAGAAATCAAATAAAATAAATATGCGAAGCGTCGTCTCGCTGGGAGCTCAGCTCAGCGCAGCTCTCTCGCCCCCTCCGATCCTGTGTCATGTCCTGCTTTGAGTAGGTCGTCGTCTATGCACAGACACGCAACCAGAACCAGAAGCGGCGGCAGCAGCAACACAAAAAAAATTGGAGGAAATGTGTGGAAATGTTAAAGGCAAATGAAACTAACTGAGGAAGTGGAGATGCAAGGAGAGGAACGGGAAAGGGAGGACGAAAAGGAGAAGGGCGAGAGGACAAAGTGTGAGTGTGTGTGTGTGTGTGTGTGTGTGCCAACGAGAGACAGGACGGACTGGCGGGACAGTCAGGCATTTCCTACAAAACGCCGAGCAGCATTTTGTCCAGTCACGAAAAGTTTCGTCTAAGGAAAAACAACACACCAAAAAATAAGAGCAAAGCCAAATGTTACGACTTAAGAGTACCCAGCACACAGTGGGGTTAATGCAGAAGCGGAACCAAAGATGGATAATAAATATCAGAACAACATGTGTGTCAATGTATTGAGTTTCAGAGACCTTAAGTGGGGCACATGCAATTTTTATTCCGCCTGTTACATGTACCCAATCGAATGCAATATACCCTCGAATTACACGAGTACCGTGCATATCTGTGGCAGCAGACGCGAGTTCAGGTTAGCAAGAACCACTCGAGTCGACAAAGTCTCAAGTTGAATGAAGAACTCACGCAACATACACATGTACCAAGAGGAGGGGGGAGAGGCAAGTGCGAGCGGTGCGAGTAGAGTCCTAGAGAAATGCTTTGAGCCCTGGCAGGAATTTCTCGTTGTTTTTCTTTATGCCATTTGCAAATGTTCTACGAATTCAGCCAGCACTGAGAATTTGTGCACTTGAAAATGGAAATTTATGACTGCAAATCGAGAAACTGGCAATGTGTTGATGGAAATGAATGATGAATATCTTGAAAATAGCTGAAATGTAACACATTCCTTTCCATTTAGACTCCTGGAATGCAGTAATTGAAAAGATACCAACATTTCTCCCTCTCCCTTTATTAAAGTGATCCGAATTACCCGTTTTTGTTTGCCATAAATTCAAGGAAAAAAATGAAGCAGGGCACTTTTATGACTGCCTGCCAAATGGAAGTTTCCAGCCAGCTCGTAAGACCCTTAATTATTGTGTCAGCTAACTGAAAGTGAATAAACCACTCATTGTCATGAAAATAAAAGCCAAAAATAAACGAAACGAACCAAAAAGGGGGCATATGGCAAAATCAATAATAAATACATAAACGAGCCCAAACAAATGATGCAGACAAGAAGATGGGGCATGCATGATGGGGCACGGAATACCCTTGAGGCAGAGGTCCATGACCTAAAACACACACCAAAAATTGTAGGGTATATTTTAATCTAAAATTCCATTCGCCAGAGTGAAAATTGTCCTAGTTTGGACAGCATAGAAAATATTGTTCTGTGATAAATACAAAGACTAAGGCTTTGCAGACTTAAATCCGATGAGTGCTGTCTTAGGGATTAAATCTATTCATGTTGCCACAATATCCCCTCTTTTGTATTGAGGCTACAAAAAGAAAGCTGAGTGCTTAGAACACTCAAAAAGTTTTCAACAATGAAAATTAAACAGAAAAATATATTTTCCGCTTACACATGAATGCATCAAAATGACAAATAGTATGGTCAAACAATAAAGTATTGCGACAATTGTTTTTGGCTCACGAATTCGAGTTGAGAATGAAAGATATCGAGAACGAAGTGGAAGAAATATCAAGCAAGTCGGTGTAATATCGGTGAATATTTATAGTTTTCGGGTATTTCCCTCGTCTTTAAAGCAGGGTATACCCGTTTAAACTTATCAGACTCATCATAATCGTTGGATTGCGTGGATGGCCCAATCACAATTGCAGCCCGAACCCGAACGATAATAAGCCAGCAATTAGTGTCACCGAAAGACTTGCTGAGGCCTCAAACAGAAACACAGCCCAAAGCCGAGGCACCGCCATTTAAAGCAATTTAACTGAGGATGGGCCACAGAAGGAACACAGAACTGAAGGCAAAATGCAAAAAAAAAAAAGGTTAAACGAGGCACTCGCTCGCTAACACAGACAGACGCACATACATCTATTATCCTGCAAGAGTATATCCTTTTTAGCTGCTGGCTGAAATTGGGAAAAAGGGAGTGAAGTGGAGGAAAAGTGGCGGGGACAAATCGCAATTTCAGTTTTATTAATATTTTTCTATTTGCCTATGGAAAACTACTGAATGGTCCTTTATCAGGAGCCTCCCACCGCCCGCTCACCCCTCCCTGGTGCGCAATCGTTTCAATGGCTGTAGGAAGGAGGAAACTTTCTTAATACAAGATACTTAAAGGACACAGAGAGAGAGAGAGACAGACAGAGAGGGCGAGAGAAGCAATGTCCGACATTCAATTGCCACGTTTTGCCTGAAGGATGTTCCATCTGCGGGTGTGTGTGTGTGTGTGTGCGTGTATATCTGTGTGAGTCCTGCCCAACTCAAACTGAAAGTCTTAAGTGAATTAGGAGGGGAAACTTGCAACATTCCCCAGACAGTCCTACCGCTGCTCATTCTCCTGTCCCTCCCCTGTCCATGCACCTGCCACTGCCCTGTCCTACAACTTCAAGGTTCTTCACTTAATGAGCTCTTGAAGTGTTCAAGTTTGAGCTCAGTAAATATATAGATGAACAAAAAAAAAAAGGATTACTTTATATGACAGGCCAGGCCCCCATTCCCCACGCTAACTACTGGACACCTGTGCGTGCTCCCAATCCCCTGCTCAAAGATTGATTGTTATAGAGAAAAGGCTCGGCTTTGGCCACTTAATGATTGCCAGCCAAAAAAGAAAGAATTGTGGATGGTGTCAGGACAGGATGGTGCTAGGACTGTAACTCGGACTGAGCAGTGGGGACTGGGGCTTCACCCACACCTTGATATAGCATAAAACAATTATCGGAATTTCCTTCTTCCACTTTCCTTTCTTTTTCGGGTTGGGTTTGGTCATGGGCTGGCGCTGTGGCTGTGGCTGGGGGCTTAGTTTATGTTGCTCGTAATTAAAGTTGTGGAAATGGCAATGGGGCTCGGGGCACATCAAATCGATATTTGAAAAGGAGAGCCCAGAGCCTCTTTCGCAACAACTCGTACAGGTGAAGGTTAGACAGGTGAATGGAACAAGAGACTACAAATTTTCCAATTGAATGTGGCTCCGGTTGCCAATGGGTTTTTAATTCCAGATTCCTGTAGATATCAAAGTGTTTGTCAGTTGTGGAGGAACTCCTTTTAATGCCGTTTCTTCTCACAATTCTGATTACAATTCCTTCACAGCCTCAAGGATAAATCCAACCAGATGTTACCCGCCAGGCTTGACCTACAATGTGTGTTGTCCCCAAACTATTATTAACGATACAGTGCCAACAGCATATTCGTGTGATAAATTAATTGACTAAAAAACACATTCGTGGCTGACACTTTGCCTGGGACCTGGGCCAAGTATACGTAATAACTACATATTTAATGGGTTATTTCATAGTCCTAGAAAGCAGAACGAGGCAGCGCCAAGTGCTGGCAGAACATTTCCATTCACGGCTGACATTTAATTAAAATTGGCGCCTAATTAATTGCCGAAAAACGGGAGCGCACGGTCTGACAAGACATTACTGGGCGTATGAGTGATGTTTGAATTTAGAGCAGCTTTTCACTAATTGAAAATGAAAATGAAAATGAAAATTTGATTTTTGGCATGATTGATGCATGATTGATTCCACGGCTAACATTTTTCCGCAATTATTATTCCGGTTATTATTCGCCGTCGAATCTTGCGGGGAAGGCCCACAAAAATGCAGCACATATTTTCGTTTTCCCTCTTCGGTTCGTTGGCAGAGCATTTTTGCTCTGCATAATTGATGGCAGAGCTTTTAATTGAAGCTGAGTTGCGGTTATTACGGGTGTAAGTGGTGCGGGGTGGATGGGGCCAAAATTTATGCAAATTAAGACTGCACCGAGGGCGTCCACAATTAAAGGGCGAGCGAGCGGAAAACGCAGAAAAAAGAGAATGAAAACGCTCTAATTGAAGTGCGTTTGAAGGAGGCAAGTGCTGGAACACCGCTTGAGATATCACAAGGGGTGGGTGCAAGTGTCCTTGAAGGTGTATAAAGTTTTTGAGAGATTGATTTTTGGCGCACGCTTGGGTAATAAAATCGGATGAAAATATGCATCATGAAGATCCTCTACGGCTTCTCCACTGATTCTTTTAAGCTGCACAAATCGAAGGCCACTCCGATTTGCGATTGAAAACTTTAATAAATGGTAAAGGAAATTCTGTTCTTTAAACAGTAATCAAAATAAACCTCAGACCGAGTGTGAGCAGACAAAAAATGTCAATTTAAGTTAGTCTTTGAGAAGTGAACTTTTCGCCGAAACAGAGAATTATGTTATGAATCAATCGAATTTCCTTTTTTAGATGGTTCTATGGTCCCACTCTATTAAGTTTTATTTATTGAAATAATAGATAATAAATCCACTTGCAGAATACTCTCGAAAAGTATTTAATAACGATTTTAAAGCACTAAAAAAATGGATTGAAAAACACTCCCATAAAGAGCCGCACAAGTCAATCCTAAACTACTTTCAAACTTTTCCATAGCAATCTTTTGAGAGCTCACGCATTCACTTTTATCTCGCTTTGAAACTACGGGTACGCGTATATGTTGCACAATGAATGTGGCATAAATTATAAATGCCCCAAATCAACTCCATTCAAGCGCTTTCAGAGCGGCTCTTATCGTAGTTTCCCCTGTTCTGGTTTTTTTTTTGTGTTGGTGAGTACGCGTATGCTTACCTGTCTGGAATTCTAAGGATACATTAAAGTCGCCTCTTGCTGCGCTTGTTCGGGTGTGTCCGACGTATCCTGGGCCGCTGTTTGCTAGAGGCTTCTATTGAATTGATTATGACAGGACCGGACGCGTGTCCTGTCCGCAACAGTGTTGTCCGGGTCCTGCTGCAGCCGTCCCGCTGTCAGGCTTCCTGCAACAGTCAGCTGCTGCCGCTGCTGCTGCTGCTGCTGCTGCTGCCGCTGCCGCTGCTGCTTGTGGCATGCAAAAAGTTTTCCCTTTGCACTGCGGATGTGTTCCTTGTTTTCACTAACTCTTCCCCTCGCTCTCTCTCTCCGGCACTGTTTCTGCGGATTCTTCTTCTTAGTCTCTTTCTCCTTCTTTCTGTTCTCTGTATGTCAGTTTATGCGCTTCCTGCCTTTGCCTGCCGCCCGCCGCCGCGTTGTGGCGAGAGTGAAAGTATTTTTTGTTGTCTCTTTTTTGTTGTATTTTATCGTGGTGAATTTCGCCTCGGAGTAGCTCGCTCTCCAAGCTCGCTCTCTTCGGCTGACACTCTCCCTCGCTCACTCTCAACGAGCTAGAAACATTTTCAGGTTGAGTAAATTTTGAAATATTTGTGTTCCACCAGTTTTTGTAGGATGTTTTGTTTTCAAAGGATTTCTGATTGCTTTTAGTGATTTTTTTCGTGGGTTTTTATGCACTGAATATTTAAGCGCCTTTTCACTTGCATTCCAGCAGCGACAACAACTTTGTTATGGTGCTTTGTGGTACTGGGGGGCGGGAGTACGCGGGAGTGGGGGTGGGACTAGGTAACGTTAGCTGATTTAGCTGTTTTTCTAGTTCTCCTCTCTCCGGTGTTCCGCTCTCCTACGCCTGCCTCTCGGCTGCTCGGCTGCGCCTATAATCTGGCAAACTTGCGTACTCCGTATTCCGTAGAGTCCGAATACCGTAACAACCGAATTCGGACTTAACCACTCCGAAACGTGTGGTACGTGGCGAATTTGACGTTTTGTGTAATTTAACCTTCTGCCCTACTCTCTCGAATGCGTCATCGGGAATCGGGAGTCCGGGAGTCGATTCGGGTTGCTTATTCCCGTATTTATTTGCTTATTATTATTTTATTTGGCACCTACACACACTTACGCACACTCACAGGAACACGCACAGATGTTTAATTATTTTTATACTTTTCACCACATCGACGGCCATACGCCATGCTGTACGGAAAGAGCCCTCCAAAGAGCCCCAAGTACTACAGGCAAAAAGGAGCCTTGGCCAGAAGAAGCCTTCAAGGTTATTCTTATTTGCCTGGTGGTTCCCAATTTCTATTTAGATTGAAATCCATTGGGGCCCTCATCCGCTGGCCTGGTCTACGCTGTATCTACATGCTTTAGGCATGTTCCCGTAACGAAAAAAAAACGGTTCAAGCTGAAATACCGTTGCACGCATTACACTCAACAACATGAAAGAGCCAGGGCTGCCCTCTCTCTTTCTCTCTCTCTGCGTTAATATTCCGCCTCAGATTGCCCATAATTGGCGATTCCGCTGGGCTTGCATTTTGCGACACACTTGTGTTTTTTCGCGTTTTTTTCCGATTTTCTTTTGCAATTAATTTTAGGGTAATATTTTTTCCACAAAGCGCGACTTGTAGTCTCTCTCTCGCTCGCTCGCTCCCTGGATTTTGGCGGAGCTCCGCGTCTTGACCGTTTGACTACTTGGGAGGCTTTGCTTTCGGATTCGCCTCTGATTCGGCTGAAAGCTTTTCCTTCATTTGGTAGGCTTCCACAAGGAGAGAGCGCGACGCGGCGGACAGAAAGAGAGCAGAGAGAGAGAGAGAGAGAGTCCCCGCCGAGACTGTCTGGCGACGGACAGGACGGGCGAGCTTTGCACTCTTTTTGCACTCAAAGTTTGCGTTGTTTGGATTTTGTTGTTTTAATTCTCGGTGAGCTGTAGCCAGGGGACTGGGACTAGCACTGGCGTGTGTGGGTGGGACTGGGACAGAGTCTCGTTTCCCGTGTGCTTTTTGAGGATTTCTTTCGTGTAATTGTTTTCGTTACGTTTGTTACGTTTGTTATGGGCACCAGAGCCACTGAGCGAGCCATGTGCCTCAAATGGAGACGTAATTGTGCACTGTGAGAAAATGGATGTAAATAGAAATTATTGCTCTTTGGGGAAGCACCTACAAAATGGTTCATCTGCAACAAAAAAAATATTTTTAAACAATTAGTGGCCATTTGTAATATGCAGAATGATTCATTCAATATAATTACTCAATTACTTAAGTTTCCTAGCAATATGTACTTCTGCCGTTCACACATTGTACATGCGTGTCGACCTTCCTCCCAGTGTAGTCATAAAACCCATCCAACAAACAGCAAGTAAGCCAAGCAACCCCGCACCCATCTGAAGCCTCCCCAGACAGCGCCCACACCCTGCACCAGCAACCCATCCGCTATGGTTTTGCAGCAGCAGTAGCAGCAGCAGGTAACGAGCCTTCGTTAAAAGCTCTCTCCTTGTCTCCCGCTCTCTCTCTATCTCTTGGTCTGCTGTCTCTCCCACGCAAGTTTTCCACACAGCTGGCAGAGTAACGTCAAACTACTTTGTGTTCGACAGGGACAGAGCGAAAGAAATCACGAAAGGAAAGTAGAAAAAATAGCAGTAAAACGAAAAGAGTCTTGTCAGGTAGCACAAGAGGAAGCTGTGTGCATGTGTGTGTGAGAGAGGCCTGGAGGTGTGAGTGCGAGCACGACACGTTGTTGCATTTGCGGGCACACAAAAGAAGGCAACTGAAAATATCGCTATCGTTTCGTTCGGTTCGGTTCTCTTGTGTTCTTAGCTGCTTCTTGTTTGAAGGTTTACTTCTCTTCACCCTGGCGTTAAAGGGAACGTACACGTGCTTTTGGTGCGCTAGTAGGTGGCAGACGGTGGGGGAATTGTTATTGATGAGTAAAGGGGGAGAATTGGATTGGTGCGGAGGGGGGCTGTGAAGGCTAACTGAACTGTCGTCATGTCAGGTCGCTTTGCTTCCAGCTTCCACCTCTCTTTCTCTCTCTCTCGCTGAGAACTTTTCTAATTGAATTTCATGTTTTGACCTACAGGGTCAACCCTGGCCTGTCTTATCAGAGTGGGATATCTACGAGTACACGTGTGTGTGTGTGTGTGTGAGTGTCTGTCTGAAATTATGTCATTCTGGCTGCGTCATTGTGTCTGCCTGTGGTCTATTCTATTGATTATTTCTACTCGTTTATGACGAAATGCCATTGTAGTGCAATTTAAATTGCTTTCACCTCCACACAGCATCAGCTTATTTTGCGTCTGCTGCTACTCTTCTTCTATTCCTCTTATTCTGCTTCTGCTGCTGCTCTTCGCTCTTGACTTGCACAACTATGACGTCATTGTTAACCCCGGAGCTTTCACTAGCGCGCGCACACACGCCCCCTATCACACTCACCCACTCAACTCGACTTTGATGTCAACTTGTCGCACATTCACCATCCCCCAGACCAGACCCTGTGGAGGGTCCGTCCGTCTCAGTTTTCCACCTCTTTGACAAACCACCGCCCCCTGTCAAGTCAAGTCAACTCATTTCCATTTCCATTTGATGCTTGATGCGGATTTTCACTGACTAGTTTCGTGAAAGTTTGTTTCTAGAGAGCTTTTCTCCCTTTCCCTTTTCTCTCCCCAGTCGTACTTCTCCCTCGGTTCCATCTCAATTTGTTTCCCTTTGGCTTTTATTATTGCGGCAAAAGATTTATTTTTTGTCATTGAAGTGATCTAATTAAAGTTTGTGTGGACCAAAAATTATAGAAGAGGAAAGGGAAAGGAAACCAGAAATTTGTTTTGCCGAGAAAGTGGTCCAGCACAAAGGGAGGTGTAGCTGGCACAGGGTCACGCTTGTGCTAGAGGTGCAACTTGTTTTCGTTTACGTCCCAAAGTTGTTAAAAAGCCAAAAAAGTAATTTATTTCAGTTTTACTGCCTCCAGTTTTCGTTGGGTATGGGTTGAGTTTGGGTTCTATCCCTGGCAAATGTAATGAGATGTTTTGACCCGCTAAACTTGGTCTTTTCTTCTAACCCCTCCGCAGTACCCGTTCCACCAGCAGTTTCAGCGCCCTGCCCTCTAGCCACTGTAGAATTGTAGATGCTGATTTGGTTTGAAGCCTTGGCCAAGTTCTGTTGGCATCAGCTGCTTGATAATCGGATTTTTCTATTCTTGGCTTCTCGCTCTTTCTCTCGCAAGTATCTGTCTGATTCCTTTTGCAGGGAAATGGGTTAAACTTTTCTGTTGACTTGTCTGTGGGTTAAGGGCTAATCAAAAGTTGTAAATTAATTCTGTTCGCTTGATAATTCTTTGAATGGAATGACGAATTTCTGGTCTGTAGAGTTTTTAAGGATTTTCTCATCTAAATTATACTAAATACTGTTGTGTTCTTGAAGGTAACTATGAGAAAACATGACTAAATACCTTCAGAAATCTATTCTACAAATCGATTAAGCTCTAACTATTTTATAGCTATAATATTTCCAAAACACATCCAAGTAAAATGTCAGTTTGTCTTTGCTTTTGGTACAATTTATTTGAAGAAGAACACAAGTTGACGCATTTCTTTGATATATTTACAAATTTAATCGGTTTTCTTCTGGGGTTTTCCTACTTGGTATGCAATTTACTCCAATGTTGCATTCGAAATAGCTCTCATATTTACTATGTATACATCTGTTGCATGTAGATCCTTAGTGTGTATATCGCATATGTATAACTACTAATTGTTAATTGTCGCTGCCTCTCGTTTGAAGGCTTAAGTGTACATAGAAATAAACTCAAATACAATTTCTTAACCACATAAAGTTATCTAACGATAATTGTGGGTAGTTGTAGTTGCGCACTTCACTTCCACTCCGGCAATGGTTACAAATCGTACTTATTGCTCAGTTATATATAATGTATATAGTATTTTGTATTCTTGTATTTATAATACACGTACAGTGGGTAAAAAACATCTATACAAATACGAGTAGGAGTACGTCTTGTTGTGTTGTGTGTGTTTTGAAGATTCTCAAAATAAAGTACAGACAAGGCGAGTCCTGGATGAACTAAATACCGTCTTCAAAATACAACAATTATTGTACCACATTTAGAATATCAATGTTTTTGTATACATCTCTCCTCTATATACTTTTTATATACATAAATATTGTTAAGTATACATGTAAATATCAGCAAATATTCCAGTAGAGTCTCTATATAATATGTGTGTTTGTTTTGGGTGTTCGGCTTTCTATGAACAAACTCCCGGGGAAAAATAAGAGATTACAAAAGTTGCCTACGGACTAATTGACGGGAGGATTTAAATCAAAAACAATCTACGCGTAATCCAGAGAGCTGCCTTCTCCTCCTCCTCCTCGTTCTCTTCTCAAATAAATAACTTAAATATGAATTGGTTTTCTTTCTCCAGGTTTTGTCATGTGCGAATCGAGCTCCAACTATTTACACGGCTCCGTGCTGCGTCCTCACTCCTGGCCCTCGTATCCCAAGCACCATAACTGGGACAGAGGCACCGCTGTGGACTAGCTGCCAGCCACGCCCTCGTCCTTGCGCGGCCTCAGTATAAAGTTGAGATTGTAGTTCGTGTTCACCGCATAATAGACATTGGCGTTCTTCGGCATCACCAGCTCCTTGTCGGGCAGCACCTGGGCGAGCGTGAACCGATCCGGATCATCCTCCAGGCCCAGCTTGAGCATCGCGTTGCGAATCACCTGCGGTGTGCGCTCATTGTTCCCAAGCATGATGCTCTTGTAGAGCACAATGCCATCCAGCTCGATGTTGTCCGTCTCGTAGGTCACGCGAATGATGTAAAAGTCCGGTGCAGACTGCGGTGGGACGCCAGTCGGCTGCACCAGTTGGGCATTGATGTGAGGCGATCCCACGCCATTGATGGTGGTCCCGTTCCCATTCGACTTCAGACCGTTGCCCATGGACTGGGAGTGCGTCAGCTTGCCGGACTGGCGTCCGCCCGAGTTACTCGAGTCCAACGACAGGTTGGACACGCTACTCGAGGCGGACATGAGGGAGGCATGGTGGGCATCCCGGTCCAGGGAGTTGTGCCGGGAGCTGGTGCTGCTGTTCAGCTCACAGTAGAACTGTGAACCGGCCCCGCTGCTCGAGTTGGAGTGAATGGAGTCAGTCTTGCGGTGGCCTATAATGGAGGCCGTGGACGAGGCCGTCGTGTTGGTCAGCGAGGTGTTTGTGCTCACCACCGATTTGCGCGGTGCCGGCGGCTGTGCCTCCAGGCGGCAGCTCAGTTCGAATGCCTCCCGCTCGTCGAAGAGCGGCATCGAGGCGAACCAGTGATCGAAGAGGGCATCCCCCTGCAGGTTGTATGTGTTGGCCGCACCCTGCAGCAGCTTGATCTGTGCTAGGACCTCGAACTCCTTGCGCTTCTTGTCAAAATTGATCAGCTTGTCCTCGGTGAGGTAATCGGGATTGGCCGTATGGATCATGGTCAGGTCGGTGAGAAATGTGCCCAAATAGGGTATCGTTCCGTGGGACGTTTGTGTGCCCAGATTCAGGATAAGCTTCTGCAGATGTCGATCAGTTTGATCGCTGCCCGGATCGGGATTCTTGGCCGTTCCTTCCCGCTTTAAAACCTCTCGCAGGGTCCAGGCATTGTTGTCCTCCGAACAGATGCGAGCGAGCTCCGTAAAGACTTCCATCTGGCGG